CCCGTCTCTGTGAAGACGATCTTAGCGTGATATCTGCTCATGACAGGACAGCGGAACTTGGCACAATTGGGTGCTGCTGCATCCGTCGTCGCAGAGGACGATGTGCGTCCGATCTCCACGACCGAGGAAAGCCATTTATAGAAATAAAGATTGCTGTGAGACGGCTTGTCCTCATTGTTCTGAACTTGGATTAACCATATGCCTGAGGGTAGGTAAGATGTCAAGAGCGATACATCGTGTACTAGGATAGTGACTTACCGGTTATCGGTCGCTGCGGCCCCGTGGGGCTTGGAGGCGCCGCCGTCGGCGCAAACGTCCCCAGATACTGAACTTCGTCTTCCATAGATCCTTGGTACAAGCAGGTGAGCTTGCCGTGGTGCTGTATGGGAGCGGGAGAGAGGCGGGAGAGATGGGAGGAGGCAAGAGTAAAGAGCAGGAGCCCTTGAGGCGGAGGGGTGCCCCTTTATCAATCCCATTACGCCTTCTCGGAGTTTCAATTTCGATCTCTCAGCACTTCGTTTCGTGGTGGCAATTTCTCCGCGCTTTGACTTCTAACACGCTTTCTCTTCAATCGGCTACGCTTCCCTCAGCTCAAAGCCCTTCAAAATGGAGGCACCATCAAGCTCTATGTCTGCTTCCGCTGACAAGAAAAAGCCGGTGACCATCGTCGCTATCGGCATGGCAGGCGCGGGCAAGTCGACTTTCGTGCAACAAATCAATTCCTATCTGCACTCGAAGGAACCCCCCTCGCCCCCATACATTCTCAATCTAGATCCAGCCGTCGCAAGTACCTCCTACGAGGCTAATATCGACATTCGGGACACTGTGGATTACCAGGAGGTCATGAAGCAGTGTGTGGTTATTCCACTCAGCTTTTACGGCCCCTGAAGTATAACGGCGACAAAAGGTACAACCTCGGGCCAAATGGCGGCATTCTGACCGCTTTGAACCTGTTCACCACGAAATTCGATCAGGTCTTGGACTTGGTGGAGAAGAGATCGGAGTCTGTCGAGTACGTGCTTTTTTCTTCCTACCGCGAGCTTGTTTTGAAGAAGACGCAGCTACGTCATTCTTGACACGCCTGGTCAGATTGAGATCTTCACCTGGTCTGCATCGGGTGCAATCATCACGGACGCTATCGCTTCGACCCTTCCGACTGTGGTGGCGTACATTATTGACACACCGCGGACAACTGCGCCCGCGACGTTCATGTCCAACATGCTGTACGCGTGCAGGTAAGCCGTGTCAAACCTTCCCAAAAAATTATTAGCTAGAAGAGTCCTCGTTAGTATCCTCTATAAGACGAAGCTTCCCTTCATCCTCGTCTTCAACAAGACCGATGTGCAGTCGCACGAGTTCGCGTTAGAGTGGATGCAAGATTTCGAGGCATTCCAGGCTGCCCTTGCGTCCCACCAGGGCACGACAGATGATGATGGGGAACCAACGTACATGAACAGCCTCATGAACAGTATGAGCTTGGTGCTCGATGAGTTTTATAAGCACCTGAAGGTAAGCCGAATCACGTCCAGACCCCATCTCCATTGCTCACCCACACCATAGGCCGTTGGAGTGTCAAGTATGACAGGTGCCGGTGTAAAGGAGTTCTTTGAGGCGGTAGAAGCATCGCGAGAGGAATACGAGAAGTACAGTCGCTCATAACGCCCATGATGATGCGGCGCTAAGCTGCCGGTTCTCTTTGTTTAGGGAATACCTTCCAGAACTCACGCGTGCGCACGCAAAGCGAGAAGAAGCACTCAAGCGCACAAAAGAGGACTCGATGAACCGGCTCATGAAAGACCTCGCCGTAGATCGGGAGCGCAATCCCGCCGCTGCTGCGCAGGATCGCTGGGATCCAGAAGAAGAAAACGAAGAGGAGGAAGACGGCGGAGACATAAACATTATTGATCGCAGTGAGTAATGCTCCCTGTCATTTGACCTCGACCGGTGGTCGACCATCTATCTTAAGCTGCCTTTCCACTATCACATCTATCACCGCGGTGCCGTTACTCATCATTGACTTTGCAGGCGAAGAGCCATGGCCAGGACAATACATCGACCTAACTCAGACACGCCGACGAGATGACGCTGGGATGGTCTGGCCACGGCCGTCATAGACGGTGGCGCCGCAAAATCTACATGTATGTATCAGTAATCTCTGTCTGCAGCGAATCGCCCGACGCAATCACCGCTGGCGACTCCTATTGTATCTCACATTCCCTGGTAACTAGGGCAATGACATCTGCAGGTGGTCAGATTGCGCCGGCACTTATCCTTGCGGGTCTCACATCAGTCCCGATGGGTCCGCTGGTTCCCAAGTGAGGTGCCTGACTCGTAGGCTTGTCTCCTTGACATGCTCATTGCTACTCCAGTGGCATCGAAGCATTGGATGGCTGAGGTCTAAACCATTGTCTGTATAAATGGGAGTATGTCCGAGATACGAGTGATCAGAGTGCGACCGGAGCCACAGAAGGGCGTGGGGCTGTGTAGTCTCGTGTACATGTGGCCGATTAACTCGACATTTGAATTCACCTGTCGGAAACGGGCCGGGGCATGGAACTGAAAGAGGGATTCGATGCACGGAGGATGTCAGGGAAAGGCGACTGCCACCGTTGTATCACGGATTACGTTATCGAGAATAACAAAACCAACGTTTGGCTACAAAACGAGCACCCACAGCCATCGTTCCGTTCGCTCGTGTTCTTTACCATCTTTTCTCGTTCGACGACCCCTCTTTAGTTTTTCCAATTCGTACTTGTACTCTCTAGTCACGGTTCTTATTCCCTCTCCTCCCCTTCCCCTCACCGTCTCTGCTGCCTCCGTCCCGACGTTCCAACACCTCGCCAAATATTCATGGACCGGTGAGCGGCCTGCCCGCGCATGAGTCTCTAGGTCAAAAGGCTGACGTAGGCTGTGTGGGTGTCGTGGTGCGTAGCTATGCCAAGCTCGAGAAAGTCGGTGCGTGCGAGATTTTCCCTGCAGACGTAGGCGGCGGCAACTGACCGGCGGGGCGTGGATATCCAGGCGAAGGTCTGTGGAGATCGATTATCCTCCCGCCGATCTGATATTCAGATGTCCTCTTCCCCCTCGTCTTCGCTGTTGCGCCCGCAACAGGGACGTATGGCGTCGTGTACAAGGCGCGCGATGTCGGCACAAACCAGATTGTGGCCCTGAAGAAGATCCGCCTGGAAGCCGAGGACGAGGGTGTGCCCAGCACCGCCATTCGCGAGATTAGTCTTTTGAAGGAGCTGAAGGACGACAACATCGTCAGGTGCGGTTTACATGTGCTTCATACCCCGCACTGCCGCCCCTTGTGGGCATGCTGACTGCACGCAGGCTGCTCGATATTGTGCACGCTGATCAGAAGCTCTACCTTGTCTTCGAATTCCTCGACGTGGACCTGAAGCGGTTCATGGAGCACGGCAACTCAAGTGGTACGCCTCTTTCCCTGGATCTCTGCAAGGTGCGTACAAGGTTGCTCGTTTCGGTGTACATGCCTTTTCTGGCCGTGGGCGGCAAACAACGCGTGTAGGACGCGTTTTCTCGGTGCTGCGCCGCCCGCCAGCGTGTCTGACGCGCCGCCGTGGCCGATGGTGCCCACCCACCGGGTTTCCCGACGTCCGTGGTGCAATCAAATAAAAGACGATCAAAGCCACTCGTCGCCGCCGAGGGCGAGCTATTTGATTTCGGCACTTTCACCGCGCGCGCTTGTCGCGTCGATGACGCGTGGCACGTGATGTCGTCACCTGGTCCCGTCTTTGGGCTTTCCTTTTTGGGGGAGGGCTAGGGCGCTAATGGTGTTCTCCCTCCATTCTACGCCATCTTCGCTTTCACACTACCTTTTAGCTTCTGGCTGTCAGCGCATACTAATTGGCTTGATGCACACAGAAATTTACGCATCAGTTAACGTCGGGCCTTCTCTACTGCCACTCACACCGCATCCTGCACCGTGACCTCAAGCCACAGAATCTGCTCATCGACAAACGCAACAACCTGAAACTGGCCGACTTCGGTCTCGCCCGCGCATTCGGAATACCCATGCGGACGTATACCCATGAAGTAAGCCCTTCCTCCTTCCGATCCGCATGCTCTGACCTTTGATCTCGATCCAGGTTGTCACGCTTTGGTACAGGGCTCCGGAAGTCCTGCTAGGCTCGCGGCACTACTCTACCGCCATTGATATGTGGTCCGTCGGCTGCATCTTTGCGGAAATGGTCATGCGCGGCAACCCGCTCTTCCCGGGTGACTCGGAAATTGACCAGATCTTCAAGATCTTCCGGTGCGTATTCGTCCCCGACTTTGCGTGCTAAGCTGTTCCTGGTGCAATTCGATGTTGACTGAAGCTGGTCTCCTAGTGTGCTCGGGACACCGAACGAAGAGGTTTGGCCGGGTGTCAACCAGCTTCCCGACTACAAACCATCATTCCCGCAATGGTCGCGACACGATCTCGCAGAACAGGTGCCTTACCTAGATAGGGCAGGTATTGATTTGCTGAAGGTATATGCTGTCTCACCATCTTATTGAATTTAGCTGACATGCGCCATGTCTTCCAAGCAAACATTGACGTACGACACCGCGAAACGCATCTCAGGTATGTCTTGTCGTTCTTCCGCAGCCGCTTCGCGCAACCTAACCCATCTTAGCAAAACGCGCCCTCGTCCACCCCTACTTCGCCGACTACCGCCCCTGATACCTGATATGATATCCCGGAGCGCTGTTCGCACTTCGCAGCCCGTTTCTTGTTCTACCTTTACCCGTTCACACAATCTCCATTCGCATCTTTTTGCATGTTCGCGTGTTCGCATGGTTCCGATTTCATGACCTGTCCCGGATACTCTACGAAAGATCAACATACTTGCCTGTACCCTGTCTTCGTTCTCCTTCGGTGTTCGTTGTCATAATATGAGTCGTCTGGTTGCCACTTCCTATAGATCGATGTGTGCGAAGCGATAATACAGTTGACAGGGATGGTGAGTCCCCAGACTAGAATGATCCCCCATCATGCGTCAGTGGTGTAGCGGTAACATTGGGCCTTCCCATATTAAGTACTATCTGAATCGTGCGTGGGTATATTTAGCCTAGCTCCGGGTTCGACTCCCAAAAGGTGCAGTACAATTGCAATTATGCAAAGCATGTAATACCATTGATTTCTTGACAGGAAGTCTCTGCGCAGAATCCTTATTTTGGTTGTCTCGTACAGAGCTCACTTACCTACGTACGTTCTCTTTTATCACTGACAAACATATATTTGAGTGAAAGTGTTTGTACCTCATCTTATCTTATCTCTAGCGACCATAGATCTTTGACCTGCCACTGAGTGCAATAACTCTCAAAGTACTTTCTTGACCACAACCCTCACCATAAGACATCGCTCAGAGTCCACCTTCACAACGATGGGAAGAAACAGTGAGCATCGTGTCTATTTTGACAAGCATTGTGTTCACTGTGGCCCGTAGAATTTGAGAAGAAGATCGTTCCTCATCGAACAAGTAAGTGGCGCAAAGTCCATATTCCCCTCGCGCCGTCGAGGACACAGTGCCTGCGGAACATACAATCTGACATCCAAATGGCCCGTCTTAGAGCTGAAGAAAGACCCGGGCATCCCCCGTCTACCTGATCTCAAAGCACGCAACGAGGAGAAGAAGCGTGTTCAGGGCGTGCGTTTCCTCTGCCACCGACCTCGATGCTCATTTTGACATGCACATCCGCATATCTCGCAGAGCCCGCCATACGTACAAGCTGGTCCAGCAGATCCGGATTCCGTTATGGCCGCGGAGCCGACGCTTTCTTCTCTCGCACTGCTCGCGCAGTCCGCCAACCCGTCTTCATCCAATCTCGCTGAAGAAGACGATCTGCAGTACAATTTCGAGGGAAAGACAAAGGAGCAGATCCGCCGGCATTATGTTCGGGCGCTGCACAAGGTGATTGACGATTCGGATGTTGTGGTCCTCGTCCTCGATGCGCGGGATCCAGAGGGGTGTCGGAGTAGGCTGGTCGAGGAGGAGGTGCGCCGCAGGGAGGCGGAGGGCAAGCGGCTGGTGTTCGTGCTGAACAAAATCGGTGCGTGCGCTCTCTGCGTTACTTTTATAATGAAAGCTTTGACTGATGCTTTGCAGATCTCGTGCCCCGGGCAAATGCGCAAGCCTGGCTGCGCCATCTTCGCCACTCTACCCCTACCCTCCCCTTTCGATCTGCGACCTCGCACGCTCGGGGAAATCTGTCTTCGTCAACATCACCGGCTCTGCTGCGACTGCTGAAGGCGTATAAGCACGGGCCGGGTGAGGCACCCGGATCGAAGGTGAAGGGCACCGGCAGCGTGACAGTGGGCGTCGTTGGCTATCCGAATGTTGGAAAGAGCAGTCTCATCAACACTCTAAAGAGAGCTAAGGTTTGCCCTCCGTATAAATAAGGTGACGTGCCATACGGCTTACGGCGATGTTTATTCTGTAGGTGTGTCCTGTAGCGTCGCAGCCAGGCCACACGCAGGCGCTGCAGTCCATCAATCTCGAGCGAGGGCTCCGTATCGTCGACTCGCCTGGTGTCATCTTTGATGACGACGATTTCGAAGTGAGCGGCAAGGAAAAGAAGAAGAACACGATATTGTTGCGGAACGTGGTGAAGGTCGAGGATATCGAGGACCCTGTCAGCCTCGGTACGTTTCTTCTCGGCATGAGAACGGTTTGCGATGCAACCATAACGTGCTTCTTGCGCTGCAAGGCTTGATTCTCATCCTTGTTTTACCTTCAAGTCGACGAGATCCTTGCCCGCACGGAGCACGAAAGAATTCAAAAGATCTACAACATCCCTGAGTTCGGGTCTACGATGGAGTTCTTGACTATGCTCGCACTGAGTCAAGGGAAACTCCTGAAGGTGATTCCATGTTACATCTTTCTCGTTTGCAACAGCTCTCAATCGCATTTTCTCATCCCCTTTCAGGGTGGAACTCCAGACCTGTTTGCCGCTGCACGCCAAGTCCTCAACGACTGGAATCACCAGAAAATTCCATTCCACACCGTTCCGCCTACAATACATCCCTCATCGATACCATCAACAATTCCTGCATCCGGTTGTGCGTAGTATCCCGTCTTGCCTTCCGTCAAATTGCTCATAATAATATTCGCCGGTTTTAGCATTAGCGCCGCAAATCGCGCCAGGTGCTGAGAACGTCGGCCAAGCTCAGATCCTGACACAACTTGGGCAACCGTTTATGCTTGCCGGCTTGTTTGGCGAAGCCGATGCTGAGATGGGTCTTGGAGATACAGGGGAAAATGAGGAAGCTACGATGGAGGGCGTCGAGGTTCACGACTCCATGGTTCACGATGAAGTGTGCGTTGTATATTCCCTCACAAGTAAATGCAACGTCCCTGATCTTTTCCGTGATACACATGCAGAGTGCCTATGGAGGCAGAGGAGTCGTTCTCCACGACACGCAGCAATCCACGCAAGCGCGGCCACTCACCAGATCCATCGGTGTTAGGATCAACTGCAGATTCTAATGCGCCTTCGTACGAGGGTCGCGCGCCGAAGCGCATGCGCAAGCTTAATGCGCGTGAGCCGGCATTGGGCAAGGCCGGGGGGATGCAACTGGCGAGTCGGAAGAAGGCGCGCATGGATAAGAAGAAGAAGGGGAAAGAGGAGCGGAGAGCACACACTCGGGCTGCTCTGGCTGCGGGAAGCAGCATGGAGATAGAGCTTTAGCGGCAGTCTGTACATGCTCTGCTCTACATCTGTTCTTTGTTGTATCACATCTCTGTATACGCGTAACATCATTCTATGGAATACCTTTGGTGGTGAGTATCCCTGTCCACGAAGTACAGGTCGGCGCAAACGACTTGCACAACTAAAACGCTACAGTGGAGGCATTATCCGGTAACCGCCCGGCCCGCCAGCATGCATATGTCTTATGACTTCTCCCTGCGTCACCAGAACTCGAGCTCATTGTAACCGCATTGGTACTGTCTTGGGATACATCAGCCCCGTACCCTAGCCATAGGTATGTAGAGAAAATTTTGATACGCAAATGTTGATCCAAACGAACATGGGGGGTCAGTGTGTTGAATATACAGTTCCAGGTAAAAGACTTCACTCGCTCCGGGGTGCTACTTAGACGGGTAACTCATATCTTTCCGTGGCCTGGCACTTCCCAGATGGACCTTGATATCGACCTTTCCGCCAATAAAGACGAGCATAGGAAGGGCCTTGCACAACTCAACTACGACGTACTGCTCGCGATTTGCCACTATCTTGCCGGCGACGACGTCGCTCACCTGCTGAGCACTTGCCACACGCTGCATGCTCATTATCGCCACGATGCGATCTGGAGCCAACTCTGCCGACCTTATGGCCTGACGGATATATCCGCCTCAGAGGGCTGGGGGTCGTTTTACGACGCGTTCACTCAGGTGTTATACCGATACGGCGCCCTCATCGGGGTTTGGGCGAGCGATCATCCGTACAGAGGCAATATTCTCGAATTTCGTATGGATGTCCAAAGAGGATGTCTAATTGGCGAGCTCTGGTACTTTGGGAATGAAGCCATCGAAGCAAATCACGATATGCAGATACCACGGCTGCCGAAATATATGGCTGCATTCAGGATTGGTTTCGACCACGACAGCGGGCAGACCTGTATAGAACCCAAGGCCTACCCAGACTCGGAGGACGATCCCAGTCATGAGACTCTCATCCCAAGCCTTCATCTCCTGAACGAAACACTCCAACAGCCGGTCTTTTACCATCATTCCTTCCGGCCAACTCCACTTCCCCCATTTCCCGCCCCGGGCTCCAGATGGTATGATCATGAGCGCGGCCTACCGCGTATGACCGTGGAGCCCTCGCCGGAATTCTTCAGGGACATGGGAGGTCTCTCGCATGCTCTGCCGCCAGGCGGCGCCGTTTCTATGGCTTATGGCAGAATCCTCAAGCCAGCGGCGCTCTGTGTTGCACCACCTTCGTTGTTTGACGAGAGTAGGTACGGGCGGCTGGTCCTCCTCATGGACTTTCTTCATCTAAGCGAAGACCGTTCGCCGATGCGCGACTACATGGCAAGAGTATGCAGAGGTTTCTATCCAAGATACTACCCACTACGCGTATCTGTATACGAAGGACTAGATCCTGCCGATGAGGACTGGGATCCGAGCAGTCTGGAGGGACTGTGGCTCGGAGCGTATGGTACACATGGGACGGAGGTCTTGAGTGTGGAGTATGATTCACTCGACCGGGAGGTCCGCGCTTGGAAGATCACCGGAGACCTCAACGTACCTAGGGGGGCGCAGACATGGAAGTTCAGTCTCGACGCCGTCCTAGATAGGCAAAAAACGAAGGAGTTGTCCTGGCTCACGAACCCCAATAGTCGAGTCTTTTCGGGGACCGGCACTGTTAGTGGTGTCGGGTTTGTGTGCGTGCTTTTACATATCCATGTGCCATTGTTGGAATGATAGCTGAGAAATTCATACAGGCAGGACCACCGAGGAAGTATGGACCTTAGAATTGCGGTGACTAGCAAGGACCAGATTTACATTCACTGGTTGGGCATGGGTGATTATACCCCGCAGTATCGTCGCTATAAACGCGACGTGCTGTCGGAGCAGCTACATGATTCGGTGGAAGGTATACGAGTACCCACCTTGTGGTCGTTGTGACCAACGGTCTCTGGATTCGCACGACGTACAGTCCATTTATTGCTGCTGTATGTGTATGCGCTGGCCTCTGTATAAAATAGTTATCTACACGAGTCCGTTTTCACAAAATAACACATTTCGTTGTTTTCGGACTACTAACCTGTCTATTTGCCGGGTCGAAGTATCTAGTGTTACATTCGTTTCCAAGTCACACGATTTCTTTCCGACCAGCTCCGTAGTGCGTGCTGTGGATATGAACGCTCTTCTCACCATCTCGGATGGCTGGTCAGGCTCACAGTGTAACGCTGCACAGATTCTGTTAGACTGGAGAAGCTATCGTGGGCATTGTGATTGTATCCCATCCATGGACAGCACTATAAATCCCACTCACCTGCCTTCAACTCACTCGGCATTCTCAGCGAACCAACATTCGGAAAAAAGAACAGAAACATTGAATCCAACCGCGGCCACAAACACCAACACAAAAAA